AAATTAATTCGAAAGAAGCAGAAGGTTTATATACGTAGAAGCGTACTAAGCACCATGACAGCTTTAATTTCAAAAATTCATAATAAAAATATAAAATTCATATGTGAAAGTAAACGAAAACATTTGTGACTTAAGCAACTTAAGATTTTTGTTAATATTCTTGCTGAGTTTTCTGCTGATTTTATTTGATTTTATCGAAAATTAATATTCCGCGTTTATACGCAACCAATCAATAAGAGCCGTCAAACATTACATGCTTTTTTGGGAACAGTACTGGGCCGTCACAATACGTAAACAAACTAAAAAAGTATTTAAAAAGGTAATTAAAACATTACATCGAACCAAAATGTCAAAATAGGCGTTACTTCTGGTCATCGTTCGCTTCAACAAAGAAGTACATGCAATTATTTTCAAATTTTGATGCAGAGTTTTTACTTGACCCACCTTGTTTGCTCCTTGTTATTTTCTTATTTTTAAACTGTAATTACCGATTAACCTGATAGCGCTCCAGTTATCACCAGGCGTTACAATGATTTCACGATTTCGGTAGAATAAATAGATACCGTAAAGCTTCAATAAAAATTGAAAGTCAGATGATTTTTTAAGAATTTTTAACCGATTATGAGACGACAACTCTACATTTCTCGATATTTATCAAAGATTTATTGGAATAGTTAAGCAATTAAATTTGTTCCATGAATCATTTCATGCGTAGTAATAAATATTTGAGGCCCCGTTATATTAATAAGATTTTATAATGTAATAATAATCAGTCTCCCAAAGACAGCAGAAGTTCCAGGGAAGAGAAATAATCGATAACTTTTCTTTGGAATATATGGGTTATGGGTGGACCCAGACAACATACCACATCAGCATCTTAAAATAACAATCATTTGTTGATTAAAAATAGACACATTTGGCTATTCTTTATGCCTACCATTTAAGATTTCTATAAAGACTTAGGTCTGAGGAAAACGCCTTGCAATATCAATAGTAGGCAACATTAGCATAGTTAGGCATATTGAATTTCAACAGCTTCGCTGGTTTGACCGCTTTGTCATAGTGGCTGTGAATATATCGGTTAGAAAAGTTTTTGATTCGGTATCGCATAATAGAACACGAAATAGAGTACGCCTGCTTCTTCAAAAAAGTATCCAGTGACAAATGATTTGAGAGCGGAGGCCTCCAGACCTGACCAAAAACAATCTTAGGCTGTAATAGCCAACTAAGTAAGTAAGTAAGCTTTTTGTCATATTCAAGAACGTATTCTTCAAATGTAATATGAAATATCATTTCTACAGCATTTCCGAGGGCTAGGAGTAAATGCCATTTCATAATTTTATCTTATCAATTTTAAAAGGAATGATTATATCAGTACCAAAGTATTGGATTTGGAAACATTTTATTTTCAAAAATAGATAAAATTAAATATTTTAGATTTGATTTTATGTGTGAAGGGTATTGAAACTTCGGTAAAACTATGCAAACTTTTATCTTCCTTCTTACATTTTCTTATAAATAGTAGTGGAAAAAACATTTGTACATTATTGTGTATATTTGAAGTAAAACGTGGGCTTTTCATTCATTTCCACAATTTGCTGCTCCTGGCTTTGGTTGCTCTTGCATATCTCAGTGTTCGATCTTAACGACCGGATTAAGGAGCCGTTGTATTTGCCATTAAGTAAGCAAAATTTGCGCTTTGCCAAAACTTATTAACGCTTACATTTCTGAGTTAGAAACTAGTTTAGATTGTATAAATTAAAATTTAACTACTACAAAATTGAGTCTCACTTTTTCTATATTTCTTGCATTTTTCCCCCTTAAAGAAAAACTATTTTAATAATTACGTAAAATGGCTTTAAAAGGTAAAAGAACTGACAGATCCGAGCTCGAAGCATTGCGTGAATGAGTCACAGTCTGAGTTTTACAAAAATAGGAAAAATAATGCAAAACAGTAATCGGGTAATTCATAAGTCTGGATTAGCGGTCTAACTTGAAATTGGCTTAATTTTGTCTGGATTGACGTAAAATGGGCACAAAGTACTTCGGGGTGATATGAAATATGTACAAACGCTTTGTGCATTAAATAACGCCACTAAAATTGGTTTCCATGGAGTCTTACAACTGTTTTGCTCAGCTGAATAAAGCTGAATAAAAAAATAAATTGTATTCTTAATTTAAGTAATTTCAATAATTGATTGAACGTATTTTTTTTTTTTTGATTTTCCATGTAAATACTTCGACCAGGTACTCATACGACGAATCACGTATTATGTTAAGGAACGCTGTTTGCATGTCAGTTTATTTGACTTATCATTTCAAAGGTGCAGAGTGCAACTGCTCAAATTATTGCCCCAAGTGACAACAGAGCTCGATTCACGCACCCACTACCGCGTTTCCCGTATGCCATTTCATAATGAATTTGCCAAAAACCAAAACCCGAACAAAAATTTAAGCGTTGTACATGCTTTGCATAAACAAACAGAAACTAAAATCGCTAAAATCCAAATTTGTAGCGAAAAAGGCCACTTGATATGCCGAAAATGTTACTTTTCACCCATCGAACTCACACATGAATTCTTAAGCAAACAAACTGCACATAAGTCAGGCCTCATTTGAGCCACTTGAAGGCAAATTCTGAGCGTGATATTGAAATCAAGATTATAATTCTTGTCCGTTTGTGTGTTTTTGATGCACGTAACACTAAGCCCGGCTTGCGCTTACTTTGACCCGAACTCAATGCTAGTAAGCCGCAACCGATAACAGTAGTTTTCGTACGAGCTCAAGTGAGGCAACACCTTGTGGTGTATTCAGAAACTCATCAATCATTGTTAACAGTGAATAAATATTAAAGTCAGATACAATAGAAATTTAATAGCAAAAGCAGCAGCAACAGCAATAACTGTAAAGATAATGCCTCTCTAAAGATTTGGTTTGATATGAAACATAATCGGCATGTGCTAAGGTTAAAGAGTTTGTAATTACAAGCTGAGGTTAGTACTCGAGTGGCAGATTTAAAAAATAATTATTTGTACAATACTTCTCGAAATACAATACAAACATTCATACATTTTACTAAATACCAAACAAACATAAACTAATTATCAATAATTTTTCACTTTAGACGAAGTGTAGTCGGTACAAGAACTCATTTAACAGACTATTATATTTATCTCGGGCAAAACTTATTGAATTTCATTTTATATTTTAAACGTATTTAAACGTATAATAAGCAAACAACTTAGGTTCAGAAGCCCTAAAGAAGCTCATACATTTATTAAATCTTATCTTTTTATAGTTAGTTTTACCCACAAAACTCATCAAATTTTATTCGTCTTCCTCGGAAAGACTAAGAAAGACTAAAGACATTGTCGGGTACATACACACAAGGTCAAAATGCCCGAGAGCGATAATTACAGAAAACACGATTTTGGTATAATCCAGTACAACATTCTAGAGGACATAAATAAACAAAAAACAGCCACAATTCTTAAACTAACGGTCGAGGTTAAAATCGTCTGTTAACTGGACAGAGAATCTAGAAGTCTCATCACAAGTCTAATTGTCATTGTCAATTGTATACTCATACGAAGCAAAGCAAAGCAAAGAATTTGAATAGATATTTCTGTGATATCCCTGTGTCTCATAAAACTGCAGATATCAGCATCTTTGAAGGTGGTTGCTTTGGAGGTTATTACTATAACTGTACATGTACAGTTAAATATCTACAAATTGATTTGAATTTGGATTCATTAAAACCAGGAAACTTGTCAGCATTTCTTTTGTTAAAAATAAATGAGCTGAAATCCCTATCGTCCCTTATATCGGCTCTAGATTTCTCAATTTGTTTATATTTGATATTTCAGACACAGTTGACAAATGAATTCCTACTATATCTACACCTATCCTGCTAAGAAAATGTTGGTTTAAGTGAAATCTTAATTACATTCAATAGGTATGTAATCATGTTTATCCACAAACAACGCACAACTAATTGCTCTAATATTGTCTAATTAGTATTTTTATAATGTGTTAGAATATCACAATTTGGAAGTAAAGTGTATGTTGACCACGTTCGCTATACACAATAAACTGAATTCTAAGCCTCAGACAACCATGATCAAAGAATTAAGATATAAAGTGAAAATTAAAAATATTTTTAATTGTTTTAGGCTTTCATTTCTGTTTTAAAGGAAATAAGTTACAAATTATAACACTTGCTGCAGGGTAGTTATGATTTTGAATTTCATAAATCACTCCTTCGCCATTACAGGTTGATAATTCAGGCTTAAAGTCTTGAGCCAGACAGTTGCAAGATAAGATAGAACTTACAAAATGAGATAAAACTCATTCCTGTTTTTACACACCTCGACTTAATCTCGTTTCTTCCCTCTGAATATGCGCCTCTCTATCTTCCTCATCTCTCAATATTGTGCGCGCATGGTTCGCGTAGCTGACCTGACAGCAGGGTCCTTTTATAGACCGCGTTCTTTGCAGCAATAGTTTAGTATCACTCCTCCTCTTGGAAAGCGGGAACTAACAAAAACGGACTATAAAGCTAAAATTATAAAAATAAAAAAAAAAATAAACTATAAAAGAGAAAAAATAAATCCAGCTGTGCTTGCAGGACATATAGGTCTTTGGACTTATTCCCCCTTGCAATAAATTAATAAATCAATATTAAATATATTTTTTGGAAATCATTAATCAAATTTGGCCATCCAATGATTTCACTAAAACAAAGCTTTTAAACCTGAATACAGAAGTTTTTTCTACAAAATAAAAGCACAGCTCTTACCATTAACCCTCATTTTATTATTCTTAAAACATCAGATTTCTAAAATCAATACACATTTAATTAAATAATTAAAAATAGAATCTGAAATATTAACTATTTTCCTTTCATTAATAAAAAGATTGAAATTGATTGTAAATTTTTTGTAGTCGATCATAGGAGGATGAAGTTTTTGCTTGAATAATTTATGCAATAAAATCGCGCATTTTCATGTTTTATTGAATGTTCGTTGCAGAATTTTATTGTTTAATAACTTTTTATATGAAACACAATAATTGCATCATTTTCCATAAATTATGCACCGCTGCATAAAGCAGTTTAGTGCAAATTGCATTTACTTTCATTTGCAATAGGAATTTCACTTTCTGACTTACTGAAGCGAGAAACTGAGCTATTGTAGCGCACGATAATTTAAATATTTATTAACTATTTATTAGGGTATCTCGCACTGGGCTCTCCTTCGTATATTGGCAATAAAATTAACATGAATTATTATTTCAGACAAGTATTTAGAAATCTCACTTGCAAAGGCCTATATAAAAATTTCATAAGAAAATATTACCAACTTATGAAAGGCGCAAATACGTTACAAAAAAAATTTTTTTTCCGAATACCTAACATGAATTTTTAAAATAATATATTTAAATCAAAAATAATTTCGTTTTAGAAATATCATTGGATAACATGCAATTCGTTTAGAAAATATGACAGTTAAAGAATCGATTGACACATCAAAAGAAACACCAGAACAACAGGGTGTACGCATTGAGACAAACCGTGTTTGCCAAATACTTTGTCAAGAAATTCTCATGTATTTTGATATCATTTGTAACACCATTAAAGAAGTTTATATATATGTTTCGAATGCAGTTTAATATTTATTTCAATTATGCAGTTATGTTACAGCTGCACATCTATAAAACGTCTAGATGAGATCTATAAAAGTTATTAATAGAATTATGGTCGATTTTAACTTTTCTATGTAGAACAATTTAAATCAAAAAAGAAAAGAGTAAGGACTATTTTTCCTGATGCATGTTTCAAGCATATAATCTTTGTCAAAAATTAAAACTAATTCCAAGTACAGACTTAGACTGGAGTATCACAAGACTGAGTTACAAGTCCAAGTGATACTCGTATGATAGATAGAATAATAATTTGGACAGTAGATGGAATAATTAAAAAAGGAAAAAAATAAAAAAAAATTGTTTATCATTTCTAATGCAGTTGAACGATTATACGAACATTCACACTTTTCATGAAAAGGTGCACATTTAGGGGAGTCGGGACTAAGAAATAGATCCCTGCGACAATATAATCTACAGAGTCGTTTCTGGAATATGCACTTCTTGACTCTTTGTAATTCTTTCAAATACATTTAGAAAAATATTCTCTGGTTTACACAGAGCGAAGCGGAAAGGTACTACCATATTACTATGATACTTGACATTATCCTCACATTAACAGTACTTTTCCTTGGCGTCTGAAATTTATGATTTTCCCTAGTATTTTAACTTTTATGAGTTTTCTGTCGTCGACAGAAATTGGCACGTTTTGCGTATAAAAGTTGTAAAATATTCTTCGCAATTTTATAGCAGATTAAACAAAGTATCAAACAGCGTTTCCCAAACGAAACTTATTCACATCTCAGTATATTACGGACATATTATTGTACATAAAAAGTAAGTGTAAAAGAGGATTTAGATATTCTGATAAATCGAAAAATAAAAATTTGAATTATACGAGTTGAATTGTAGTTTCTATATTAGGCATATCACTTCTTCGAATAAATATTCCGAAAAGTAGACTGTGCTGGAATTGTCACAATAAAAAAGGTATAGAATTAATTAATCAAGTAAATTCAATATTTTTAAGACCGTTTCTTCAATGAACTGACAGAGATAACGAAAGTTCTTAGTTCCAGCTGTTCTTACTTTTATTTGGGAGAGTTAATGATATAACAAGAATAATATACGGAGACAATAACGGTTAGTATGACTTGCTTTTTCCATGCAATTTTAGGACATCACAATAGGCAATAGATGTCTTGGAGTGGTACTACAGGTAAATTCATCAGGGTGTTCCCTGTATATACATATAGTCATTTATAGTCATATATATAGATCGTATATAGTGCTAAAAATATTATATATTTGAATATTTATTTTTTGAAGTACAATATACAAGCTTTAAAAATATAGTTAATAAATGTTCTGAATTTTAATAAAAAAACTTTATTGATTGCAATTTAAGAATCGCTGGAAAATGAAACTTATAATAACAATGTATCAGTGGAAGCACAAGTGGCAATCAAATCAAAGCAACAAGATGATGAGTAAGATATTCTAACAAGTAGGCAAAAAAAGCTTAAAGGATAACAAGGGTGCTTATATCAAAAAGCACAACAACAAACATATTTAGCCAACTAAACGCACTCATGGGGAGTTTTAAGGGGTCTTGTGATATATAAGAATGGACGACCTTACACTGATTTTTGAACCCGCTCAGTTTACAACGAAAATAAAATTGAATGGAAGGCATGAAATCAGCTTTATAGAGCTTTATGGTTGGTCGGTTTCTGAATGAATTGTGTGAAAGCTTTTCTAACGGTTTAATTGTTCAATAGCTTTTCGAAATGAAGCCTCAAAAATTCCTCGCAGCTTTGCCCAATAATGTATGTACTAAGAATTTTCAGTTGTTTTTAGTTGGTGTTTGAGTTGAAAACTCAGCCCGCAAGGATATTTCTAGCGTTTTTTTTCGTACATTTTTAATAATTAAAACAAATTTGCAAAAACTATAATTTGTTATGTTTATTACGATTACGATTGCTTATGAATGAAACTTATTAATAATTTATTAATAATCTGTAAAGAATAAATGAAAATGAAATTGATGTGAAAATCTTCCATAGAAGTCTTTGACGAAAGTGATTGCAAGTGGAGCAAAGACTTCAGAGTGACACATTCATTTAATTTTTAAGTATTTTGTTTCTCTTAAAATAATTTATTATAAATAAATTGCAAGTAAAAAAAAACTATTTTGTTTAAAATAAAAAGCCTCACATAAAGGTCAAATTATCGACTTTAAATACTGGAACGTTTTTTGCGTGTGCAAATGCATAAATAACACAAATAAAAATAAAAGCTCGACAACGGCGATGCTATTTTAAGTTCGCACCTACAGCGGAGGGTGTGCGGAGTGGCGGGCTACAACAGTTACACACTTTCAGAAATCAGAAATCAGCTGAGTAGATAACTTGTAAAGCTGCTGATTTTGAGTCTGCAATCCTCCCTCCCCTGCGCCCACTACCATTCCACAAATTAAATCACCAATTGTTTGCTTCCCTGCAAAACGAAGCAAGTGGAAGAAGAAAGAGAAAGTAAAATATATAGAAAACTGCGTAAACGAGTTCAAGGTTGAAATTGCACATTTCAAAAGAGCGGGAAAGCGGACGGAAACGGATATCTAAACACCGCAACTAAACTGAAAAGCTGACAAACTGACAAACTGACAAACTGGCACCATTCGAAATCAACGCAAACGTAAGAGAATGGCTTTGATTCGTTGCTGCTTTGAGCCAGTGGAGCTACCGGAATTCTTTGATACGTTCATACAAAAGTGCACGGATCCGACATGTAAGTTTAAAGCCAAAAATAACAGAAAAATAAATGCATAAATTACCGAATTTCTCTAAGTGCCATGACAATTTTATTTCGCTTTTCTCTTACAAAATTTCGTACAATTTTCCACTCAAATTACCATAAAATTGCCATAACCGCCATGGACTTTTATGGAATATTTTTCTGCCCGAAGCGCCTTCAAGTAGTAAAACGTTGGGGTACAAAAAATAAAAGACCAGAAGGTGCAAACTAATTTCAGGCATTAAACTGCAATTTGTGCATTTTGCTGTAAATAAAAAATATATTAAATAAAAACATTTAAAAGGTCAAATGTTATGAAAATATAAGAATTAAATAGGTTTATGGGTTTATAGGTTGAGGTGGAAATATGCACTGGATTACAAAACACAATTGTAGAAATTTAAAGCTGACGTCATATTTATCTTTAAATCATAAATCGATTTAATCAAAATTTGCATTGGAACTGTTTCATGTTACCAAGAACTTCCTGATAATCCTTACATAAATGATTGTAAATGACTTGGATCATTATCCTGTTGGTATAGTTTTCTGTATTCTTAATGCCTTGCATCACAGAATTGAATGATCTTTTATTAAGTATTGTACATATATGTATGAGTAAGATTAGCCTCATAGAAGTACATATATGTAACCGGCATCGACTTTATAGGCAGATTCTGTTGTATCAGTTAACCAATAATTGTTCGTTTAAACCATGCAAGTGGCAAAAAGCATGGAGCTACACACTAATGAAAAATATAGTGTTACGAAGTGATGTCACATGGGCTCCAAGCATTTCCATCTACATAATTGTTCCAGCGCAGGTTAGTTCCTACCACATTTTTGCCTAATAATAAATTGGTTTCCCGATCTAGCATTTTTTTTACTCAAGTAAACTAAGAACACTAAATCAGAGTTTACTGAACCTTTATTTTGTTTATATATCTGCTTCTAGGTCATAGCACACAGATCATAATTGTAGCGTAATTGTAACCTCCATACCTCACATATGGAGACAAAAATTGTCTATTAAAGTTTTCTATCGAACTTAGCCATGAACTTAGCTATCATCATTATGAAAATACTACCTCAATTGCGGGGTCGATGCTAATTATTAGAATTACTTCTTATAGTGCACATTTCTGTAGGTATACTTCATTTAACTTGTGATATACACATGATGAGGAGATTTTTTTAATAATAAATTCATTATTCCTATGAAAAAAATCTTATAGAAAATATATTAAGACTTGGTGATGTCATTTATTTTCTAAAGATTGTGAATTTCAAGATTTAAAATTGCGTGTAAAATGTAGGTGTTTCAATTATACTACATCAGCAAAACTTTGGAAGGGACTAAATTAGCTGAAACATACTTCTCCGCGTCCTTACAGTAACCATCCTGCAATGCAACTTATTTACATATCCTTTTGCAGTACATATTAGTCATTAAAGCTACTCAGCTGTACTCTGCAATTTCATATCGATTTGTACTCCGTTGAACTTAAAAACTGCATTAAAAATGTAATCACATGCAAGTTTGCATTTCCGCATCCTTCGTAAAGGAGCACTTACTTGCAAAAGGTTTAAAACGTACAAATCCAATAGATTTCTTAAAAGCAACCTGCAGTGTAAACAGTGTATAAGAAAAAAGAAAGCTTTTATTTATTTCATTCAAATATACCAGAAAAAATGGCAGCCCTATATTTAAAGTTCAGTAAAATGTAAAAAATTTAATTATGGAGTTGTTAATAACAAATTATTAAAAAACAGAATATTACGAGGACTCCGTTATGTTGATTTCTTAGTGTATCCAAGATGATTACCTAATAATTGCGGTACAGCAATGCCATTCAAGCCCAGTTCATCAACGATAATTTCCTGCAAACTCGGATGTTATCGACAGACCGTATTGTCAGATCTACAAGGATTTCGACAGCCGTCGTCTGAAAGCTAGAACGAGTTTTAGCAGTCTTATGCGAATTTGCAGATGCAGGAGCTTAACATAAGATACTACACTTCTCATCTTTAATTCTTGCGTCAAATCTGTACTGCTACACGGAACCGAAATATGGCACTTAACATTGGCAACAGTTCATAAACTACAATGTTTTGTTAATAAGTGTCTCGAGTCTATCTTGCAGAGTTGATAACCGAAAGTTACCTTGAAAGAGAGGCTGTGGCGTGCTACTGCATAGAAACCAATTGTACAGTAAATACGATTTAGACGCTTAACTCATACACTGCGAAAAAACACAAACGATGTAACACATGCCGTTCTATGGTGGAACTCTCAAGACATAAAGTCGCAAAGTAGACCACGCAATACTTGTCTCAGAACCATAGAACGCAAAACGACCAGTTTCTGTTTTGACTGGTTGCTGCGGAACTACAAATGAAATTTCACAATATTAAATCAGCTGGCAATTAATTCGCTAAGCGAACTTTTGTTAGTCCCACCGTAAATTATGACAACTTTAAAGGGGAACACCTACAGGCTTTCATTGCTCACTTTATTAAAGCTAATAAACTAAATGACATTAAATACTAAATGTAGTATAATTACATATTACATAAAGTTAAATAAAACAGGTGCAGCTCGTTTTACTCAAACTTTTTTAAAAGTGTGAAACGAGTACAGTGAGTAATTTTGTACTTTTAAATACAAATCCATTAGAAAAAGCGTCCTGCTAAAGAAAGAGATCAAATGTCCTTAATTCATTTGCTTAAGGTTTAATTGACCAATTAGTCCATTAATTGCGGCTATTTAACAGTTTTTTATGAAATATTGATTTTGATTCAAGTAATATCATTAAGAAATCAATTGACTTAATAATAATTACGGAACCAAAGAGTAATTTAGAAGAAAAAGAAATATTCTAATTTTTGTTGTAATTAATCTAAGCTGGAATAATTAGATCAACAGTTTTTATTAAAAAGTAATGTTAGACAAGTTGTAAAATATGAAATTAGTAATATATTGAGGTGGGTATTATGGGACAGATCATCCTTGACCATATATTAAATAATAGAAAAATTTAGGAAACTGCAAAAACACCGCCAAAGAAATATGTTCTAGTAAATGTAAATCTAACTTTCATTAGTTTGCTTTTTAAATTCTCTCTAAACATTTTTGTTTTGTTTTGGTTTTGAAATCAAAATCAAATATTTTAAATTTTCCAAAATTAAAACAAAAATTGATATACGTTACATTTATAAATGTTGCTTTTAAAATTAGCATTTTTTGGTAAGTAAGATGAATACTAATATTTTATATTCATTAAAAACTAAATCATAACTTATATATAGAATAAAGCACATAATGGTACATATTAAGTCATCTGTAAAAAAAATGCTTGCAAAATAAAAAATTATTTTTTTGTACTTATTCATGCATATTTAATTGCAAAAATATATATAAATTTAGTTTTTCATGAATTAACCCTTCTGAGAAATTAAAATGAAATCACAATGTCTAAACGAACTTGGCAGCACTAAAATCGAATGTCAATTGGTTGGCAACACTACGTCGCACCTACTCCGCTGTTAAATGTCAGATTTGTTTTCGCTAATTTAATGGTGCTGATATAAAGATTTCATAAAGTATACAATATTGCTTTTAATGTAAAAATATTTTTATAGTTGTTTAAAATAAGTTGACAGGAGTGCAAAAATTGGCAGCAATGATGGGTAAACTTAAATATTATGCTCTATTAGTATAAAATAATTACGTTCAGCCTTGCTGAAGCGGGGCAAGTGTGTGCAGGTGAAGCATTTAATTGCTGAAAAAAGTTTTTAATCACATAAAGTAACTCGTAATAAACGCGCTCACATACACAATGAAATAACGTGCAGATAAGATAACAACTATAAACATTCCACAACAATTTCGCATATCCCAAATGATTACGAGCCATTGCAAGTGTTTTTCGTCGTCGTTTGTTGTCAGTTGAGATACGCGTTTTAGGGCAATTAGTTCTAAGGCAGTTGTCATGAAGGCGGCATGTTTAGCTATCGCTGCATGCGGCTACTGCTGCCAAACGCTTCATCTAACCGAAGTACAAATTTTTTAAAGCAATGTGCCTGCTTTCTCTCCTTAGGTTGCTGCGGGTGTTGTTCTGCACTGCGTCCGCGCTATAAGCGCCTGGTTGACAACATATTCCCAATAAATCCCGAAGATGGACTTGTCAAATCGAATATGGAAAAGCTTACGTTTTACTCGCTTAGCTCACCAGATAAACTGGATCGAATTGGCGAGTATTTGTACCAGAAAGCAACAAAGGATATCAATCGCAAACGTTACAAGTAAGCGTATGAGTCAGCCTATGCGTGTCTGCGTATAATTATGAATTTTTCTTGTAAATTTCAGGTTTGTAGAGATTGCAATGGAAGCGATGGACTTACTGCTGCAGGCGTGCCATGCACAAACCTTAAACTTATTTGTTGAATCATTTTTACGCATGGTGCAAAAATTGCTGGAGGACTCAAATCCTAATTTACAGATAATGGCCACTAACTCGGTATGTATAACATACAGTCACTGCTTAAGATGTCGAGCATATTTGGTGCTATAAGTTCAAACGTACTGTAGTTTTTTTTTTAGTGGAATCTTAAAATCCCTTTCATTTCAGAAGTGTTCTGAAAATGCGTGACTAACATTTTTATGACCTTACATTTCTTCTTGCTTAGATAGCACATCAGCTAAAGCTTAAATTACTCGTGCTAAATCTGTTCAATTAATTAATTAAGTGTTGACTTCTGGTTTGATTAAAAACATAATTGAATTTAAAATTCTTGTACTTTGTTTAAAGCGCATATTTATAAGTTAGCCGCGTCACTCTACAGTCATCGCTTACTTATTTATCAAATAGTAAATTACGATAAATGAAACTTTGGAATTGCAAATACACACAAGAAATATGTTTTCTATAAGATTGTATAAACCAAACAGTGAACAGTAATTTTTATTATCTTTATGTCAGTTATCAATATAAACAAGTTCACGCTTGTATTTGGGTATGCCAATCACGATATTTTGGATTGCGAGTCTAAACTCTAAAACTCCACTGAAACTTATGAAAATGTGATTATAAATAACACACATTTGCTCATCTGAAAACAATTCTTATGTCAAACTACGTTATAAATTGATTGCAAGCGTTCTCGTTAGCTTAAATGAGGAAATTAGGAACCGAATTAGGGAAAGTACAGATAGCCCACTACGATTTAGAAGCGCTCAGTTCATAATGCATATAATTTTCAAATAAGCAAACATACTGTATCTGATTCGCTTGTATAATTATTCATGACCGTCTTGAATATTCATTTAGTGTGGCAATACAGAATGCAATAAATTGCTTATCACACTTGGTAAGAATCATAAAATGTATAATAAGCTGAGGAAACATCTACAGTATATCGCCTTATCTAAAAAACAACATTGCCGCTGTTGTAAAAATGTATCTAAAATGCTTGGTCGTCCATTTCAGTTTGTTAAATTTGCGAATATAAATGAGGACACGCCATCCTACCATCGGCGGTATGATTTCTTTGTTTCCAAGTTCTCTTCCATGTGTCACGGCAATCATGATAACGTGGAATTGCGTGATAATATACGTTTGGCTGGCATTAAAGGTCTTCAGGGTGTCATACGTAAAACTGTATCTGATGATTTGGTTGAGAACATTTGGGAAAAACAGCATATGGAAAAAATTGTACCATCTTTACTCTTTAACATGCAGGTATGTGCAAAGAGTTCCCTAAAATACGCACCTCAAATTATATGAAATGCAAATATTTATTTAAAATTGAAACAAAATTTCAAAAATCTTTACAATTTGTGTTAATAATGTAATTGCTGTTTTTATTGTTTCATCAAAAAGTTTTGCGTAAACGTTATGTTTGTGAAGAAGAATTATTTAGCGGTAAATTTATATTTTGTATTTTAATTATTTAGAATTATGCTAATCATGCTTACATTTTTTTATGCATTCTTTATGTGTTTCCATTTTCCTCGTGTGCTTTTTATTTAAAATATTATTATGCATTTTCAAAGTCTGGCGATTTAACACCGGTTGAGGATGCTACAAATGTTACTCCACCGATATTGGCTGAAGAGGTGCTGAGGGAACTTGTGGGACGAGCTTCATATGGACACATACGTAGCGTACTAAAACCATTGCTGACGTAAGTAACTACTAAACATATATATTATAAGATTTCACATTATTTTACTTCACTACTTGCAGTCATATGGATCGTCATGAACTCTGGGTACCAAATACTTTTGCGATACATACTTTCCGTATCGTTATGATATCAATACAACCGCAATACTCATATACAGTCGTTGAAACTTTGATGCAACATTTGGATAATAATTTTAAATCATCACCAAAAACTCGTACTTCCCTGGCTGTAGTACTATCCAAAATTATAGCCATTGCTGCTGGTGAGAGTGTAGGACCATCTGCACTTGATATTATAAACAATTTATTGACCCACCTGCGCACGAGTGTGAGCACTACCACCGAAATCACAGCGGAGGAGTCCCAATATCAGGAAGCACTGATAAATGCGTTAGGTGAATTCGCCAATCATCATCCCGACTATCAGAAAATCGAAATAATGTTGTTTATTATGAATACTGTGCCTGATTTATCAAAGAAAAGTAAAGGTGATCAAATGTTACAGAACATTTTGTTGAAATCTCTACTGAAAGTTGGCACGCAATATAGCACAGTTTCGTTTGAAAAAGCATTCCCTGCATCATTCTTACAACCGCTGCTGAAAATGGCACGAGCACCACATGATCCTACACGTATTATTGTTATGCATATCTTCCAGGCGTTACTTGACAGACACCAAAATGAGAAAGTATTAAGTGTTGTCAGTGTTAAATCATATGCAGCTCTGTCACAAGAACCACCCTCGCGGTCAGACATTATTTTTACCCATAAATATGGTGCAAACATAATGCAAGCATTGATTGATAGTATGGCTCTATCGAATCGAATAGAAGCCTTAACTTCCAGTTATAATACCGCAGCTCTACTGATTGTTGAAATGGCCTGCAGTGAGACCGTGCAAGAATTTTTGCTCTTTATTTTAGGGTAAGTAATCTCTATAAGCAAGTATTTTAAAAAACTATTCTATTAATCAATATTCGAACCTAAATACACCATCAACTCCATATATATAAATATGTAATTCAAATATATTAAATATAATTTTTAAAATAAATTTTTCATAATAGTATTCAACAAATATCCACTACGTCGGAAGATATAGATTCAATACACAAATGTAACTTACATTGTACGGCAATTGCGTTGCTCACACTTACTGCGCGTGTAACTGGTATCACAAATTTATTGGAATATGCACAGAAAATTATTGACGCTCGCAAAGAAGAGGCACCTTACCTGCTTCCCCCACTACTGGACCCCAAAAAGGCAAATACAAAAATGAATTTAGCTTTACCACATTTGTCTATCGATAAATTGGCTCTGTCAGAGGCTCTGCAAAATGCTGGAATGGATTTCAATCGCTTGCAGACTGGCGCACCGTATGCTCTCAACCAAACCGATAATCCCGCCCATAGACATTCTTGGGTGGAGTCCGTTAGCAACCAAATGCCTCAGCGCAATAGTTCCGCCGACTTAACAGCCTACAATGCAGATGCGGACAGTATAACTAGTTCTCCGGGTGTCTATAAAAAAGCACTAGCACCAGAATATAATTTCGATGCGATGAAACGTGCATTAGCAGAACCATCTGAAGCGACTAAACGAGAGGAACGCGAAAAACAAAAGCAAATAGTCCGTGCATTTCGTGAAAGCAATTTTGAGGATTTAGTAAGACGCACAGAACCTAAGGTAACTTTAATATTTTATGCATATAGAACCCAATTTTTAATATACACATATATTTTTATTATATACCCATTTTAGCACGACGTCATACAAAATCGCCTAAATGATCTTTTCAATTCACTAACCATCGAGCGGCAAATAAACCAAAACGACATTAAAACCCAAATTCAAGCAGCCTCTGAAAAACCAATTTACGAGACAAATTTCCCGGAATTGTTTTACTATTAAAGACCGAAGTTTAAAGAATTATGAATGATTTTCATATAAAGTATATAGCAGCATAGTCTTAGGTTATCAAAGGATTAATGCATAACTTAATTATTTAAAATTTTTAACCCAGGATATTGGCTTAATTTACATATATATTGCTTTTATCTTAAATATATAAAGATAAAATCTTTTTACCCTTCTTAATAAGTTTTCCTTAGTATTATTTATACATAATTAAAATAATATAAACTTTGTTGGTTGTTAGTTATATTAATGTTTATAAAACATTTTCACAATTTGGTTTATGTATTTACAAGAATTTAACCGATAATGTTTATACAATTTGTTAAATCTATGAGAAAAATAAAATATTTAAAACTAATCCTAAAAATAATGTTTTATATAATGATAGGATAAGATATACGGGATACTACCTCCAATTGGAGCAGAGCACTGCGATCATGGCTGATCTTTTGTACTGCTAAATGACCCTAACTGAAGGAAAGACACTCTTAGTTTCATATAAAACCCAAACTTCCAGATGGTGAGGACATCCTACCATCAGACCGGAATAGGAACTCGAGATCCAGTAATCCTCTCATGACCCATTTCAAACCCGGCAGTCACATAGTATATGATTGGTGATCTCATCTGCCCTCAAGGATAATCAGTCTACATACTGTTTCTTCACCGAGACCTATTCTTATTATTCCGATACTTTGACAAGCAGTTTGACATCTAAACAATGTATATACGCTTGGGTTGAATATAAATATTTTTGCAATGGGCACAAATCTTTTAAAATAACTATACATTATTAATAAGTAATACTTAAACGACGATCATAATCCATGCTTTTGAGTATTGCTCAATTTTGCAGTACAACACATGATAAACAATATACGTCCAGAGTTAGCTTATCCAGACAATTTATACTGCAACTTACTCATCAACAGGTTTGTTAAAAGGCTACATTTTAAAATGGATGGTGATATACTAAGTATGCATTATAGTATTTTTATATGGATGCATAATTATTTTTTTGAAACAAAGTATATAACAAGTAAATTTAGATATTAAAAAGTTGGGAAATAGTCCACCAAAATACTAATTCTAGCTTCCAAATAAATTCGACATTCAAAATTGGAATTTACGCTCTCACAGCCCTAGTGGATAACCTAACATTTCTTTTTCTTTTGATTAATAGCTTTGTTCATGATTTTCCTCTTGGAACCTTGAACTTTTTTCATAGCCTTACATTCTTTATTTACCAAATCACGGTCAGATTCGTCAGGTGCTTTCTTAACCATGCAATTTATTTCTCCTTCTCCGAATCGGTACCCGTATCCACCGGCACGGGCGGCATTTCTAATGTATGACTGAAGTGCGCGCTTTGAGAGTTTTTGACGTTTACAAGAAGGTTTTACCCTTTTTCCGCAACGAGCACGTTTTGGTTTACCTATTAAATACAAGAGTCATTCTTAAAATGTATGAATGATTCCAGGTACATTAGGCTTACGCTTCTTCTTTTTATTGCAACGATCTAAAACTGTGTCATCTGGGGTCCAAATTTTATTGTTTGCACAATGAGAGCGTGGATTACTTGCATTTCTTCTTCCACATGCTTTTGCTAATCAATGAAATGTCATTAGCATATATAAAATTAATTTAAAAAAATCGATAAGCTAACATTTTTTATTGTGCCTGCACCGTGCAATGTGCTTTGCTTTTCTGGACCTAACCGTATCAGTCTGCTTTAAAAATGTGCTACGACTAGACAGTTGCAACACCGAAGAGACTCTTGAACTTTTTACAAATACTGCGAAATATATTCAATATTATAACATTCCACTTCAGAAATTTAATGTGAAACTCACATGTCTCCTTCATAGGATAACGTCTTATCTTTTTAAAGCATTTTGGACATCTCCTGTAATGCTTACTGCAGATGTAAGTAATGGATTTGGAAGAATTATAATTTGCCTCAAGTAGTCGTCGGCGCTTCCCAAAATGACCAAATTCAGAGGATATTTCTCCATTGCTATTTCCACTATAACACGCATCTCTGATTACAGCTACGTTAAGTTTTGACTGACCTGCAGTCCTTTCATCAATTTCAACCTTTTTGATTGGCTGTTGAACTTCGTTTGCGATTTTTACCTGTGCCAAATAGTCTAACCAAGATACACGTTTTTCTTTAAGAATGCCTAATATATCTTCACAATTCTTCAATTTTCCGAACATATCTTTAATAATTTTATCCTCCATAACGTAAAAATTTAAAACCACACTTTTAACTGTACCGAAATAATATTTCAACCTAAAATTTATTTTAACGCACATGGAAAAATATTAAAATTTAAATATTTTGAAAGCTTACTAGGTGTTTAAATTTAAAAAAAGTACAGTACCATACTGTTTCAATACAATTATCGAACCTTATTTGCACAATTTTGTATGGATTTTGTACGAAATATGACACATATTGAAGCACGTTGAGCGAGTAAATTTAATAAGTTTAAATACACTTTAATTATATTTCAAAATTTAAATTCCATTGAAAAAACACAAATATAAATGACAAAAAAGCAAGGAAGCAAGAGACCATTAACTACAACTCATGGAACATTTTCAAATAATAAACATAAATCCAAATTGCGATATGTAGATAAGTTAAAAATGTCGCATTTATTAGGAATGACACTTTTATGGACATAACACTCTTTAAAATAAGAATGAAACCTAGATTACTCCTTGGCACAAAAATTACTTGTATTCATTAATGAATATAACTGGCTAATTATCTATAAACTTCTTGTCTAAGAGCTTCAACTTAGCCTAATCATAATAGAAAAATACCAGGCGTTAGTTTCAATTCGATTCTTTGTTAATTTTACAAAATAGTAAATGGTACATTCATTTCATTCTAACTTCTAACTTAAGTTATATTGATACTTAGATTAAGTACGTTGACTAATGTTAGTATATACAATATCATTTACAATAAAACTACGTTGGGACCTCGTTAAAACTTTAAAATAAAAATTTTAATTTAAAATTTACGATTTACTACAAACTCTCATACGAGTATAAAAAAACGAGCGCACCTTTCAATGTAGAAAGTGCTAATGGCAGATATATTATACGAGTATAACTATAATAACATACTAAATTAGTATTTTATAAAATATTGTTAATAAAAATTATAATATATTATATCAACATAATAAGGAAAAATACTCTTGTATCTTATGAAAACTTACAGTTTTGTGCATATTTAACATTACTTCAATAAATAAGTATGTATTACAAAATTATTATACAATATATACGTATATACAATTACATCTAGATATGTATTATTTATAAATTAATACCGAAAAATAAATTTAAAGTTAAGTATAAAAGATTACTTTAAAATTATGTTTAAAAAAATTACATTGAAGATTGAGTTATCAAGAAATATATAACAAATATATTAATTTCATTTAAAATAACGAACATGAAATGAGCTTCATCATTTTAGTTCAATCACAATTTATCATCAAGATACTTCAAAACTACTTCAGTTCGTGCAATTGACTCCGCCAGTAAACGCATCACCACCCGATATAGACGATGAAAGTGAGTGCGATAGTTCCGAAGGCACCAATCGTGGATATAAGCCCGCTGACATTTGATCGCCATCCTGTGTCGGTGTTACAACAAATATAGCGGAATCATTACAACTAGTTGGTGTAATGGAACGCCGATCAGAATTAGCACCGATATCTGAGATTGGTATATTTATATCTTCGGAAGTGTGCAAATCGCCTTGTTTTAAGTCTGGATTAGTTGGTGGATCAACCACAAGTAAATTAACTGAGATCAACAGTGGGTGCACTAGTTTCGGATCCAATAACATAATAGTTCTCTCTTCATTTTTTTCTAATGATAGAGACAATATATCAGAGGTTTGGGTGAGTTCAGTTTTTCCATTTAACGCAGAAGTAACCGATGCTCTAAAATGTTCAGGAAATATATTTTATTTTAATCCAAATTATTTGTTTTTGGTGTATTAAGTATATATTTACCTTATCATAAAGGGACGTTTTGTTTGTAGACTAAGTAAACGTTCATGCTCGATGCGATGATGCCGTCTTATACTCAGTACGCGAGACTCAACTATAAGTATTAAATCTAAACCAAAATTAAATCCTGTCCATCGCCACTTCTGGTAGCTTGGTTCTTGCAAGATACGACCGCAACGCATACAGTTATTAAGGAACACGTCGTTGTCATAAGTGAAACTACTAAAAAAATATATAAAAATTTAGTAACTAATAAAAGGATTTATAAAAAATAAAAATTTATAATATTTACAATTTCAAAAATAACGATCAAGTGATAATCAAGTGATTTTTATTAAGAGTAATTAATCGAAATGTGTTTATATGAATTTGAACTGTGCTATCGTATATTATTGTGAAATTGCTAGATTAAAGTTTGTTCTAGAAGTGAAGTTATAGTAACTTAAAAATATATTTCTAATTAAATATTTAGCTTTATAATCATCATTAAAAAATATATTTCATATATTTCAAAATGTTTCGTTTTAAGCAATGGATTAGTTAGTGGATCAACTCCTAAAAAAATTAACTAATTTTATTAGTAGACGCACTAGTTTTAGATCTAATAAGATGGATGTTTTTTACTTTGATCTGATGTTAAAAATCATTTATTTAAATAGAAGATATGTACGTATATTTAGATAAATATGTAGAGATGTATATTTTCTGAAAGAGTGTCTTATTGCAATTAAAATAACAACAAAAAAGAAGCTTTTATTATTAGAAAAAAAGGAGAGTGCAAAGAAAAAGATAGTGCATTTCTTTTAAATTTAGTGAAAGTATAGCAATTTATTCAGTCAATTCAATGAACACATTTTCAGTACAATTTACAACAAAATCGATATGTAACAAACCTAACTTTATACAATACAAAATAATAATGCGAAATGAAACCTAAACGTGCAGCGTTTAAACGTGGTTTGAAGGTACTCACCCTTCATCACTTGCCACATGATCAACTTTTAAAATCGAATTCCAGTGATCAAGCACATGTCCGCTAATCCATTCCTTCGGTATTATATTATCAGCAAGGATGATTTTTAAATCAGTGTGATGATTGGTAAGATACTGAGTACGAAGCGCTTGAAATGGTTTCTTAAACTGTTGTCCATCAGGTGTTGCCAGAAAGGAACAAGTTTTGGAACGTTGGACGAAAAATGCTTGTATCACTTCAGTTGGATGCTGCTCAGTGGACTGATCATCTAGACGTAAGCTTTTCGTTTCATCGGCTTGATTTAAGAAATGTGGATGTAAACGTAAATATGCCCAAGTACGCAACAAAGTGTAAATTGAAAATTCTGTTTGCATTGCGTATAGATCAGGACTCGAAACAAGCTCCGTCATTAAATTAATGCTAATACTGCGTAAAAGTTTAAAATGTTTAGGATAGACACTTAGCATGTTCTTCTCTAGCCAATCGAATGCAGCCTTCTTAGCATTCAAACAACCATAAGCGCAACCAATATCATAATACTCCACAGCACTCTAAAAAAATTATATAAGTAAATAAAATATTTAATCAGAAAATCATTTATTTTTTACTTTTGCATTTATCGACTCCAACATAACTTCAGAACACTTTTCTATTATGCTTTCCAAATGAAATAACGTTGCTGTGGCCAATATTCCTACCACATTGTCTACTTCTATTTTAATATCGTCCGAGTAAAGTGAACCAAAAACCTCATCCAGTGCTAATGAAGAAAGGTTATTAAATATAAAATTAATTAATCTTTAAATTAAAAAATATTACCTGTTACAGTTATGCGTTTGTCTAAAATTTGAATGTTGACGAAATCCTGTGTGGACTCCATCCAAGATCCACTAAACATACTCTGGAAGTACGGACTTTGACTTAAATAAAGTTTATGCAGCCGCCACGTTCTCCCCAGAGCCATAACAGTAATGTCAGAATTTGCCTGTCCTTCAAACAAAGTTTTATAAATATACTTCGCAGTACTTAGCAGTTTCTTCCTGCAAATTTCAAAACAATTAAGACATTAAATATTAGTACATATTCCCAATACTCAAACAACTGAATTAACTCACTTTTTTGGCACTTCTAGCTCCAGATCTTTATCATCACTCCCGTCTGTTGGCTCCATAGGTCGCTTACGTTTCCGATCTAAAAACTTCGTTACACTCTCCTGCAGCGGCGTTGTTAGTTTAAAAGCCACGGTACCCATATTTTCGAAATAAGATTCTTCGAAATAGGCTGTAGTAATTGTCCACTTAACTTCCACTATTTGAAAAAATTTTTCTTGCTCCTTACTTGACTATCTACAATAACATAAATAATTCACTTTATAAACTGGCAATCAGTGGTGTTTCTTAATCTTATCAAGAAAAATATACATAAATTAGGTATATGGAAGATAAATTTATATTTCTATTTTAATCATTTTCATATTTTGATTTTTAACTCTATACCATTTAAACTATTTTTTTTTTAAGATAATGAAATACTTGTATTTAAATTTCTAGTATAAAAAAGTAGACCGGTAAAAATGGAGAAGCTGCTATAACTAAAGATAACTCTCCAGTGGTAGAGTAGAAAAACTTTACAGTTCACTATTTGTAAATTAAACTCTTGAGTTTAAAAAGTGATTGGGGCTATTCACAACAGCGGCAGGGGCGCTACTTCTAAAGTGTTACCAACACGGAATGCTGGGAATGTATGTGGTGACATCCATCCTTGATGAGTTATCACCCTCACCTTAAGATATTTTGGTGTATTAAACATAATGGATTCTTTTTAATTAAATGCTTTTCTTTGAATAGTTTTCAAAAATCACTCGTAAAATAAGTCTCTGTGTATGACACAGCATTAAGCAGTTCGGTTTACCTTGAAGAAATCATAATACAAGATCTGCGTTCTGTAGGGTACGGAACTGTAAAATTGCCCCTGCTTTTTCTTGCTTTTTCTTGTTTCAGAGAAATGTTAATACATCTCGGCAATTTTTAATGGAATCGGTCAGCATATCCTAGTTTAAAGTATACCCGCTTTTAATATTAGTAAAGGACGGTATGACGAAACACTTCATTGAAAAACTGCAGAGCTGTATAATCATTTTACGAAAGCAAGAAAAAGCAGTAGCAATTTTAAAGTTCTTAAAAAATTGTTAGTAGTATGAGCCCTAACTACTACTCCATATTGTATATGGATTTGTAATATTTTTTATTTACCGGAGATGGATGGATTCAATTATCATCAGTTGAATTCTATTGATGTAGCCAAAATTCTGAACCGAAAATAAAAATAAATTTTATTTTCTACTATAGTACAATTATATAATAGCTGACAACCGTAAAGATCAACGACAATAACATCCAGAGTACCACAAAATTCCACCCCATTAAGTTACTGAATATGGTTGTCATCTGCCTGGGATATTACTTTATTGTACAAGATAAAACGTATACGATAAACGATAAAATTAGTGTAACTTTTAAGTTGTAACGTAGACTATAGTAGATTATGTTTGGAACATGTCGACGAATACTTTTTTAGGGAAGTACGGCAATTAGTTATGTAAATAAGTTGAAGGCAAACGAAAGTCCTTTTTTAGCAATGATCTATTTATTTCATCTATTTTTATTATACTATATTTTTCAATAAGCTCAACCTACCAGTTCTCACAGTATTCGAAGCACTATTTTAATAATAAAAACTATGCACTTGACTACACCAAAAAGGTAATCTGCATAAGCAATCCATCTATTATTGAATACGTAAACAAACGAATATTGCATTCGGGTGATGTCATCCGTAAACATTAGAGACTGTTTCTACTTTATATATTGTACATTTTAAAGTTTTTGCGAAAAAAAAACAGAAATAAAACGAACTCTATATATCCGACATTTTGGAACAAATAGTTACATGCACATGCTTTGCATAAAATTAATAAAATAATTGCGTTAAACATTTTGCAATTTGTAAATCAAAATTGCAAATTAAAATCAATTCGAAATGTTGAACTGCGAGTTGGGAATAAAAATAGGTTGCAGTACTGACCTGGCATATCTGTAATAGCCAATGAGTCACGCCACCATTGCAATCTGCAACGCAGCTCTATAAAAATCGAAACGTCATCGGCATACGTTCTAAGTAGCAAAAATATTTAGAATGGGTAGGGCAAATCAGCTAACTACTTTACGTTTCAAATGTCTGGATGAGATAAGAAGTTTATTTGGCATTAAAAAAATGATTATTGAAATATTGATAAGAAGCCGAGAAAATATATAAGTAAATCATTATGCGAGAACTATAAATCTTCCACTTATACAAAAGATAAGAAACACAGAATACTTCCACATACAGACTATTTATAGTAACTTCAGCGAGCTGAAGTTTTGAAAACAGAGAAAAGAGTTGAATTTTGAGTGTATATTGGAAGCTATCGGGGAAATGTATGATCATTTATATCAGTGTACATATGTGCATGCGTGATATTTCATATAATGACACAGTTTGAAGCCAGGGTCTTTGACGAAATAAAAAAAATTTTTAAAGGAGGCATTTTAACAGTATATTTAGAATCTCTACAATATTTTGGTTTTAAGTAATATGGTAAAAATCAACTATCACGATAACCGTTTAAACAACAAGTAATATCTAATATGTATATATATTTTATATAAATATTTTTGATAGAAACCTAATCTTAGATTCTCCCTTTAGTGCAACCACTTAAGGTATTATTTTGTACATCCAATTAGAAATGCAGTTATCGTAATTTAACCAAATGATTATGTCTTTGCATAAAATCGAACAAGATAAATTTGCATTGCCGAGAGGTTTTCTAGATCCATATCTAGAAATGTACGCACTCTACTATGGTTCGATCTGAACTTTCCATTTTAATGGCTAAAACTGACAAATGAACCCATTTACTTAAACAAAATAATGCCAGCATTCATATAAACATCTATAAGGTATTAGGAACAGATAACGATCTGCAATATAAGACTTTAGCTGCGGCAATAATCTATATTATTATTATACTAATAATCTATATTCCTAGTAATTTAATCATTACTAGTGATTTGCGCTAGACCCCTTGATTCATCCTGTTTCGTTCAATAAATTCGATTAATTTTGCAAATACATATTAATACACATTTGTGGCGCTTCTTCCAATACATTTTATTAAATATATAAAAATAAAATGGAATTGAATTATATATAAATAAACTACGATATAAATAACACTAGATTATATAGAACATTATATTGAGTTATCTTATTAATGCAACTAATTATACGCTAAAAAGTTCTCTTTAGCTATAAGTTAGCTAATCTCCTCTTCAGCTATAAGTTAGCAGTAAATCATTTACCACTAAGAGAACTATCTATTGAAAAACATCATCTTTCTTTATAACCTTTTGATATATGCATCAGCTAATTAAGTTTGTAATTTTAAGTTTTAAGTTCAATTTATTGATTTATTTTTAGCTTTTTAAAAAAATATCTTGAATGTGAAAAAAGTTTACTTCCCCTAGCTGCGATATCGCACAAGAATGCAACGCCGAAATGTTGACCCAGTTTACGACATCGCTTTGAGATACTAATTTGGGTCACCGTAATTAATAGATTCTAGACATGCTAGAAGCTTTTAACTTGGAAAAATATACAGGAAACGCCAAATAATTAATTCAGTTTTTAAATAAAAAAAAATAAAATTATGTGTAACGCATTTACAGAATATCTTTAAGAATTACACAAACTGTAAATGGAAAAAGGCAAGGTCAGATGCGTATCATAAAAATGAGGTGGAATCGTTTACATTGCGAAAGAAAAATATCGATTTGTTTACATAAATTTTATGTAAAAATAAAAGATATGTATACAAAAGTTTGTAACTGATTGAAACGAAACCAAAAAAAAATATTTTTGAAACATTGGTCTACCACATTGCTTTCGGGTGTGGGGCGAGACAGTGGTTCACCTGACATTTCAATGTTTGCAGACAATTGTAAAGGGCAAAAGGAGATGATATCATCGTAACGAAGGAATACAGTTTTGTTTATTGTGTCGGTAATATTACAATAGGTGATATGGAACCATTTTAGACTTGGCTAAATCTGATAAATTAAGATAGAAGAGAAGATAAGTTAAATACATAAGTTTTGTTATCAATGATTTAATGTGGCGTTTGCGGATATAAAATACTCTGGATATTCAATTTCCATTAATACTCATCATAAATGCTGCCTTGATGATTCTATTTGAACCCTGGATCCAATTCTTTGGTATTTACCTTCAAATGTTGCTATGCCTGACTTCAGATGCAAAGTTACTTATCTCTAGTACTTACTGTTTCTTAAATCACTTAAATAATAGTTATTACTCTGTTTTCTCTCTAGTTTTCGGATTTCAATCTGTCTCCTTTCTTGTGTAGTAGTATTATCGCACCGATATTAAAAATCTATCTGAAGACTTTCTCCAACTCATACATACAAACTATGAGTTAGCACATGATTTCATATTATATGTAGGCAAAAAGTATAAATATATAAAAAAAATTATTAAATGCTAAAGGTCCAATGACAGTCTTGTTTAACTTTATAAGATATTTTTACAACGAAGAGAGACATTTTTTTAATCAATAGAAGAAAGTTTAAAATTAAAATAGTAAATAAATTTCGAAAATCGAAATTATTTTATAAATTTTTTTTATTTTTTTAAATTTTATAGGGCTTCGTGTGGGTCAGATTTTGTAGGCGTCACAGTTAAAAAAACATTGAGAAGAATTGATTGAACCTAAACACGCCCACTCCTTGTCTTTCTGTTTGAAGTAGCGCTGCAATAAATTAAGCAATGCAAGTCAATTATGCATTTTTTCTGTGGAAATCACAAACGCCAAAGTAAATTTTATAATAGTATACCATAGCTTGTATTTATTAACAAATAATTATCATTAATTCAAATGAAATTATTAAATCCATAATAATTAATAATTAACCTATTTGTATATATTATATTGAGCTATATTTCATTTCGCTTTATGTGGATTATATGTTATATAATTAGATTTTATTCAGTTCTCATGGTAGAAAAATGTATCAAAATTGATTAAAATCAATCAAAATTGTAAATCATTATATGTTTTATAAACATTTTAAATTTTTATCTTCTACTATCACTATTATCCGATACATCCATTTCAATCTTCTCGGATAGTCAAGCTCTCATCAGATCACTGATAGACACCTCAGCCACATCAATAATAACTTAAAACTGCCGTGCTTCTCTCAATAATCTAGCTAGGCTTGTTAGGGTTAAACTCATTTGGGTTCCTGGTCACAGGGATATCGCGGATAATTGCAGGGCAGTTGAGCTTGCATAGGCAGGCGCTCTTCTCCCTAAAATTTAC